GAGACTAAAGTCAGAGTTCCGAGACTAAAGTCAGAATCCTGAGACTAAAGTCAGAATCCTGAGACTAAAGTCAGAATCCTGAGACTAAAGTCAGAATTTAGACTATTTCCCCCCATAATAAACTGAAGTATTTAAAAGTATTTTTTCAGTGGCCCAAATCCTTTAGAATCTAAGAGCGATGAAGCAGGGTGTGAATCTGGCTCACCTGGGTCAGGTCCTGGTCGGTCAGCAGATGCAGCTCTCTCGGTTTAAAACAGTTCTGACATTTACTCTTGTTGAAGAAGTTGGCCTGGAATTTCCTACAGCTGTTTTCCTTTGCAGCAGACATTATATTTTACAGGTTTTCCAAAAGCTGGGAGTTGCTTTATTTCCCAAAGACCTTAATGTTGGTTTTCCGCTCTTCTCCCCCCTTTCCTCTTATCCCAACCTGGAATAAGCTCCAGCGCTGCGACGCATTTCCAACTAACAAACGCAATTTACGGACTTCAGCATCTGCTGCAAACGTTTCCTTCCCTTCGTTTAGACTGAATCCAGCTGCAGCTTTCCGGAGGAGCTATTAGCTGCCATTAAGCCAGGCTTTCCAGCAGCCAGCCCAGGGATGAACGCCTTACACTCCCTGGCCTCCAACCACAAAGAGAAGAGGGGAGAAGGAGGCTAATATCCTGTTAGCTTCCCAGAGGAGCTCAGGCTCAATAGTGGGATGGGAACAACGGCTGCCGTTAAGATGCAGGCAGATAGAGCCCATTCAGCAACACGGACTCAAACATAAATAAAAGCTTATTTATAAAACTCCATGAGCAGGGGCAGCTCCATGCGAAGTTCATCCAGTGCTCCGGTTAGCGGTAGAGGCTAGCAGGCACAAACACAGCTAATGAAATCCTCTCCTCACTCGCTTCTTCAACTTCACTTCGTTTCCTTTTTTTATTATAACGTCGAAGGTTTTAGAGAACCAAAAGTTAAAATCCTTTCCTTCCTGGTAAAAAGAAAAAAAAAAAACTAGAGGGAAGGGAGGCGGTTCCTGCTCAAACCCAGCGGAGGAAATGAGCGTTTAAAGGTTCGCTTCCATAACTAGCCTCCTTAGTAGCTGCAGCGGCTTTATTTTCTGCTTTCCCAGCGGAGCGACGAGTAGAGGAGAGGAGAGCAGATCACACACAGCCTCCTGGAATCCGGAGGGATCTCGCGATAACTGGGAGCTGCCGCCACCCGCAGTCAGGATAGGGTTACTAAAGAGTTGTTTTTTTTCACAACCACAAACCACTTTGTTTTTACTTCCACACATAAATCATAATATTAAATTAATACATAAATAAGTACAATGGAAAGATACAGAAGAGCATTAGACTCACTGAAAAAAAGTTAACTGACTTTTAAATATTATTTCAGTTTAATATGGGAAAAAAAGAATTCTGACTGAAGTCTTTATCTCAGAATTCTGACTTTTTCTCATATTTCTGACATTTTGATTGATCATTTATTTCGAACACTTAACTTTAATCTCAGTATAATCTCAGTATTCTGACTTTTTTTCTCATAATTCTGACTTTAATCTCATAATTCTGACTTTTTTTCACAGGATTCT